TCTGTACTTTTTCTTTTCTTAATTTCTTATACATTGCTCCAGTTTTTTCTTCTTCCAGTTTTATGTGTATATATCTGGTAATATGAATAGCTGGTTGTAAGACAATACCGTGTATTACAACAAATACTGTGAAATTCATATTACTTTGTTAAGTAAAATTCTGTATGAGTTGTCAAAAATAAATAAATAAAAATAAATAAAGTGAAAAAAATGGTCATACTCGTTCACTTAAACATTCTACTTTTGGAATTTAGGCTAATGCAACTAATATAGATATTTGGAAGCATTTTCTTATAAGAGTCCTTTAGTATTTTATAGTAGCCAAGAAAGTAAAATCGACCCATGTTCAATTACAGAAGATTAAATATATTGATATTAATTATTAAATTGATATGTAGGAATTTCATGTCTGAAAATGACAATACAAAATAGCATTTAGTTATCTGGCTCCTGTTGCTCTGTACTGTTATTTTTTTAAGCCATTCAAAGAACAGCATCAGCTCTATTGTGGTATTTTTTGCTAAGAGAAAGACAGAGATTGAGATGGGCAGACTTTGGGAAGATACACACCCAAATGTTGGTAATGATTAGCTCTATGTGAAAACATTACAAGAGACTTTTCTTCTCTTTTTCTTGTACCTTTCTACATTTTTCCAAATTCCTATAATGTGGTCATTTATTAACATTTGCAACTAATAGAACAAGGAGCATAGCCTATTCTTTTTCTAAGGAAGAAATGCCATCCCTACGGCCCAAGCAGCCTTTGCCAGTGGACATCCTGAAATGCACTAAGTTAAGAATCTGCATTCACATGCAGATGAAATGCACAGTATGTAGTGAGATTCATCCCAGCCACCTCAGGGCCTGGGCCAGTGAATGCCACACAAGCGCTGAGAGCTTAGACTAGTTTGTTCATTCTCTTAAACTTTCTCATCTCCCTTCAAATCCATCCGCCACCAACCTACTCATTTGCCTCACAAAAGACTGCTCTGCTCCACCCAAGGCAACCCCTTGGCCCTCCACCAGCAGAGCCTTTTCTTCCCCTGCTATTGGAAATTCTCTTGTGGCTGCTACCAACACTCATGATCCAATCTCACAGCTATAAAATGTCATTTCTTGTTAATCCTGATAACTATTTTTAAGCTCTTTCATTCAGGTGTACAGAATTAGATTAAACAAAATCTGTATTTCTTGGTGAAATATTACACAGGATCCTGTTTTATTTAAATGAATAGCTCATTATTTTAAAATAATAAAACATTTAATTATATTTAATAATATAAATCAACAATCGACTCTAGAATAAGGGTTGGGAAATCTTTTCTTTAAAGGATCACCTAGCAAAATATGTTTCGCTTTATGGGATATATGCTTCTTGCCATATTTAGTGTTTTCCATTCCTTGCTTCAAAAAGATCACACACACACACACACACACACACACACACACACATGCACGCATGCGTACATGCACTCATGCACAGTAGCACTTTGTTTTATGTTTGTAAACTTTAGAAATGTGCTTCATTGCTATATAGATTTCCATTGTGCTAATGTGCAACCATTTATTTATCAATTCTATCAATGATCACTTTTGCTCTTCTCACTTTGGGTTATTATGAAAAAGTGTAGCTGTGACAACATTATTCACTTCTACTGGCACATGTGTGATTAAGTTCTCTTGTTGACATACTTAGGAAGGGTATCACTGGGTTTAGGACATACCATAGTCAATACTGGAAGATAATAAATATTTCTTCTTCTTTTATTTTTAATTAGTACTAGAGTTCAAACTCAGGAACTTGGGCTTGCCAAGCAGGCACTTGTGTCATTGAGCTATCTCTCTGGCTCCAATAATAAATACTTTCTAAAGTGCTATGACAACTGCTACTCCTGTTAACAATGCTGTATCCTCCATCACAATTGCCATTTGGTAGAATGTTTGCCTTTTGCATTGTGGTTTGAGACAAGGTCTTGTATGTAATGCAAACTGGCCTTAAACTTGCTATGTAGTTCAGGCTCGCCTGAATCTAGCAATCCTGCTGCCTCAGCCTCCTGAGTGCTGATATTAAAGTCAAGTATGGGTTGGCGAGATAGTTCAGCTGTCTAAGCAGTTACCTGGCAAGCACAAGGACCAGAGTTTGATCCCCGCACACCGTGTCTGCCCCGACAAGCCTGTAATCCCAGCACTAAGGGAGGCTGATTCAGGACGAGCAGTACGAGTCTACTATATAGAACTACATAGCAAGACCTTGTATCAAATAAATAAATGGATTAAAGTGCCTGCAAGCAGGTGCCGGGGGCAGGCATGATCCCTGGGCCTGCCCTGCCGGCCCTGCTGCCAGGGTGCCCTGAGATGGCGACTGAGACTGGGCGTGTGGCGTGCACCTGTAATCCTAGCTCTTGGGAGGCTGTAAACAGGCAGATCACTATGAGTCCAATCTAGTAGTGAGACCCTGAATACCCAGAAGACTCTTCCCTAACATACAA